AAAAAAAGGAAAGCAATACAAATAATCAAGGAATCAAAAAGCCAGTTCTTTGAAAGACTAAGTTAAATAGACAAACCCTTAGCCAACCTTATAAAAAAAAGGAAAGTCCCAAATCCATTCAATTAGGAATGAAAAAGTTGAATCACAACAGATCCTGCAGAAATCCAGGTTATCAATACCAACTTTGATTCCCTGTGATGAATGTGATCAATAAATATGATAAATATGTACTAATAAAAAGTCAAACCCCTCAAAAAAGACTGATTTTCTCATTAACCAGGTGTCAGTACTCCTAAACAATATTACAAAGCAAATCCAGGACCAGGGATTTAGTTCATTATTTCCATGACCTTCCTCGAAAGTGCAAGGACCAAAGGAAAAAAATGAAGCAAATCCATGTAGTTCCAACACTGTGGGAGGCTGAGGAAGGAGGATTGCATGTTTGAATAGAGCCCAGGTAACTTAGCAAAAGCTTATTTCAAAATAATGACATAAAAGGGAAAGGGATGTAGCTCAGTATGAAGGCCCTGTGTTCAAGCCCCTATATCGCACACACACACACATACAGAGTGCAAGTCCATCCATTGTCACAGGTCTACAATGCCACATCTGTGCCCCAGGGCATATTCCTGGTTGTTCTCGGTATATTTGTCATTTGTCTCCATCTGTACAGTACATTATCATCATTAACAACACTGCTTGGACTCTTACAGTACCCATTCCCCCCATATCAATTTCCTGAGGTCATGGACCAAATTGCCACAAACTTGGTAGCTTAAAATATGGGAATTTATTCTCTCATAGCCTCAGATATCCAAACTCCAGGTGTTGGCTGGGTCACACTCCCTCGGAAGATGCTAGGGAAGGATCAGTTCTAGGCTTTGCTCCAGCTTCCGATGGCTCCACATGTACCTTACTGTGTGTTCACATCACTGCAATCTCTGCCACCAACCTTAGGCCCCGTGTGTCCTCTCTCTTAGAAGGAAACCAGTCACGATGATCTCATTTTAAGATCCTTTAAGTCCATGTTCACAGGGGCCACGGGTTAGGTCTAACCTTTTCAGGGACATAAGTTGACCCAAAAATCCATCTTAGTCTTTTTCAAGTTTGTCTCAGCTGTTGGTTTTTTAGTGTTTTCGATGGATTTTTCAATTTCTCTAGTTGCAAGAAAAATTCTAAGTTATGTTTCTATTGCTGCTGTTAGCAAATAACCACAGACTTGTGGCTTGAAACACTGCAAATATATTTTCTTGCAGTTCTTCCTCTCCTGTGTTCAATCTGGGTCTCCTGGCCCAGAAACGAAGATGCCAGCGGGGCCTTGTTACCTCTGGAGGCTTTAGGGGAGAAGCTGGTTCATAGCTCATTCAGGTTGTTGGCAGAATTTGGTTCTTTGCAGTCGTAGGGTTGAGATTTCTGTTTCCTTGCTAGTTGTCAGCCGAGGGTGTGCTCAGCACCCACTGGCTGCTTCGTTCCTTGTTCCTTGGCTTCTGGGTCACCAGCGTTTTCTACAAAGTGGGGAAGTGCCTAGAACTGAGACTTGTAACATGGGGTTTTCCAAGGAAGAGCTGGTATGGTTTTAGCAGCCCAGTCCCATGCAAGCACATGGATGTGCTGATGTTGTCCTCACCATCATTTAAGGTGGGTCCTAAAAACACCAACAGTGGTGGGGGAGCCCGAGTGGAAACACAGAGTACTTCTCTGGCATAGGTCCCCTGGGTTTGCCTGGCTGGACGGAGATAGGACAGGGAACTTGGGGTGCATCCCCTGAGAGCACTGGACCCCTGCACAGAGCTGGAAAGCCAACTGGGAAGGCACTAGTCCTGCACAGATGTCACTTCACAAATGAGATTACCAGGGAGGACACAACACAAGTGTCAGTGGAGTATCTTTCCTGTATCATGGGTGTCCCTGAACTTGGCCACACAGCCACACTGTCCTGACAACATCTCAGGTCTCAACCCCACATTCCAGGGGCCCCGATCCCTTACCCATCCTACATAGACCAGCTGGGCCAGAGGGGTCACTGGGTCCAATGTGTGGGACACTCAAGGGCCTAGCTAGTGGAGAGTCTTGCAGCTGACTGGGGAGTCAGGGGTTGCCATCCACAAGCCAAGAGGCACTACCACCATGATTTGTCTGTCCTGCAGCTTTTGGGCCAGGGTTCTCTTTATCCACTCAGTTCATGGCTATCTTTAGTGTCTAAAACAGGCCAGCAATATTTTGCCACTATTCTTTCAGGTATTTTCATTTAGAGAGGCCTGGGTTTGTCACAGTGGAACTGTGAGGTTGAAGAGGATGTGTAAGGAGATGAAGTGGCCTTTTTTAAAGAGACAGTTGAGTGTTTTGGGTAAAAGACCTGAATTTGGATAGTTAAATGAAGGCACCACTGGACAGTATGGAATGCAATTAAATGCTCTGAAAATGAAGGAGATTCCCTTCTTTCCTGGTTTTAGCATATTACACATTTTTCACCACAAGAGGAAAAAGAGGGACCTTTGTACACAGTCCTCCATGTGCTCTGTCCCTGCCCCTACACTTCCAGAGATCATTTTAGCTAAGTGGTAACCACAGCTTCTAAGATCCTGTCTTTTTTTTCTCTCTCAATGTTTCCCCTACATAACCCTCCTGGCTATTTTGGCAGCCACATAATACTTGGTGCCTCAGCTCTTCAGGAGCAGAAGGGCTCTTCAGGAGACAAAGGCATTTGTCCCAGACCACAAGCCTATGCTTTTATTTGCAGAGATTTTCCTGGCACTGCAAAGGCCAGATGGGGACATTTAGAATGATGAAGCCAGAGCTGTCTCCAGGGGAGGGAATGAGAAGCCAGCATTTCTCTGGTGCCAGGCGTCTCCAATGGGGGTGGCCTCTCTCTGTCCCGACTCTGTGAGGAGGAGTTGCCTACAGTGACTGTGACAGCACCCCTGGGGGCGGCACAGTGGCAATCAGGGGATGGGCCACCTGGTCACACTCCCCATGCTTCTGCAGCACAAGCCTCCAGAACAAGGCAGAAACGTGGACCTGCAGAGGGTCTCCAGCTCTGTGCACTACCCTAGGTGTCTAAAGAACATGGAATCTGGAGGGGAATGTGAGGCATCATTTTTAAAATGGCCATGTGACTGTAAAAACGAGTTCAGGTCATTGTCCAGGACAGCAGCTAGGTGGGTGGCGTCTGTGGTCCAGCACCGGGGAAGAGAAAGGTACCCATTGGAGGCTGGAGAAAGTGCTTCATCATTAGTTTTCACTCATTTCCATCTCTTGTCAGGGGCTCAAGGGTCAGAGGGTGGAAAAGGCTCCGGGACAGAAAATGTGGGGACTAGGAGGGACTGAGTGAGAGTGATTTCCCGCCTGAAGCAGAATAGCTATTAACTGGGGAAAGTTTGCAGTGGAGTGTGGAGCAAGGAAAATGTTCTAAAACATCAGGTATGGTGCATTCTGGTTTAAAAATAAAGAGCACATGTGGATATGGAATCATACAGCACTGCCAGCTGGTGTTAACTGGGCAGAGAACTGAGCCCTGCATCTGAACCAGGTATGTTAATGTCCCATAGAATCCTTCAGCAATGAGGGCGGCCCCACCTGAAGACCTCTATTTCCCAAGGAGGATGAGGGGACCTGCTGGAGGTGGAGGCTGAGGCTCAGACCCCTGCTTCTCCTGCTCTTAGGAACATCTTTTTCCTTTAAAATGTTTTCCCTCTGTTGTGTTTCTTTGGTGGGGGGGGGCCCGGAATAGACCTTTGGGGGTTCATGCTTGCCAGGCAGGTACTACATGGCTGAGCTACATCCCAGGCCCCATTGCTTTTATTTTTAACTTCACAAGGAACATATTAACCCTGCCTTGGATTTTTGGAGACAGGATCTTGCTTTGTAGCCCAGGCTGGGTTTGAACTTTCAATCTTCCTGCCTCAGCCTCCTGAGTGCTGGGATTACAGGCAAGTGCCACCATGCCCAGCTGGTGAATATTCTAGTGAATATTCATATTCTCTCCCTCCCTCTCTCTCTCTCTCTCTCCTCCAAATATGCCATGGTAAGAAGTGAAGATTTCGGAGTTCGTGACCTCTGTGTCTCGTCAGCAACCTTGTGGAGGGCACCACAATACTGTTGGTGGGTCTTTGGGAATTTCCCTGATAAATTTCAGATGTTTAGTGGCTTAGTGAGATGGCAGGTTTATGGATGAATGGATGATAATGGAAGCTCTGGGCTTGGCTGGATAGGGCTGGCCACCAGAGCTGACACTTCCTGTTGACTTCCTGTCTGCCGACAAGCCCCAGGGGATGTGGGTCCCTACAGCGCCATCCAGCTCTCCTCACTTGAACCAAACACATACTATGGGCCGGAACCATCTGAGCTGTTTACACACCCGCTTCCCTGCACAACACACACACACACACACACACACACACACACACACACACACACACACAGCCATCACACAAAGCTCTTCAGCAAACACACATTTCCTACCATAGCCGCCCTATGCACGGAGTAAAGTGTCCATACACAATTAAAAGGGATCATTTGCAGAACTTTAGTATTTAAAGATCCCTGAAGCCAGAGGTGGTGGGTGGGCACTGGGATCCAGAAAAATAAACAGCCTTCCCTCCTGCACCCTCCCCGAGCCCAAAGCAGTAGGGAACCCATCTGCTGCCCCAGACTCCCAGCTCTGGGCTCACCACCAGCCCAGTGCCGCTAGTCCAGTGCCTGCAGGGTTGCCATGGGGACCAGTCTGTGGCATCCCAGACGGAGCCTTGGCCCCTCCTCCCGAGCACTCCACGTGCAGGCTTTGTCAGGGTGCAGTGTGTCCCTGCAGCTGTGGCCAGCAGACGACAGGGGGGCTTGCCAGGGAGGCAGGACCACCCCGAAGGACCCCAGCTGACTTCAGTCCTGGGCCGATTGGCGCCTGTGCACACGGCTCTGCTTTTGGAGTCCCCAAAGAGACCTTCATTCAGCATCTTGGCTCCTTGTGAACCACCCTGGACTCCTCTGGAAGCTGTGCCTGGACAGGAGCTCCCACAAGCCCTCAAGTTCGCCTGCTTGGGGCTGTGGGGAGCCACAGATTCTTCTTGTTTTAAAAATGATTTTTGTCTTCTAGGAGAGATGGTGAGTACATGGGATTTCAGGTGGCTTTGGGATCCTGTGGGGCTGATTTTCCCTGCTGTTGGCTGCTGATTTCCCAGGGAGTGGAACTCGCTGGACCCTTCCCTAGGAGGAGGATGGCTTCTGGAATGTAATTTGAAGAGGAGTTTTAATCATCCCCCTGCCCCTCCTGAGCGAGGCTGGGCTGCTAGGGGATCACTGTGCTGCGGTTTTGGGGTCCCTGGCTCCTGAACAAAATTGTCTGGGTATTTAGTGAACAATCTGTACTAGGCTGGATGCTATGAGGAGACCTGATTTATTTCCAGATTTCTCCACCCATCCCCACTCTTTCTATTTCATTTTTTCTTTAAAATGGTTGGGAAGGGAAAAAGAGTGCACTTAAAAAACACTGCCTTTGAAATCTCCCATGATAACAGGACCCTGTTCAGACGCTAAGATTTTCTTTGCTTTTCTTCTTTCCTTTTTGCTGGTGTTATAGTTTCTGTTCAACGTCTCCTCTAAATGGCACTCCTTGTAAGGGAGAAAATGAGCCAGAGTGAAAGGCGTCTTACAGGGAAATTTGAGGTTCATTAAAGAAACCATCATTTTGGATGAACTTGGGTGAGAACTTTATAGAAAGTCTGCGCATCCGGGGCCCCACTTACAGTTTGAGCCTCGGCTTGCCGGGCGCTCCATGGTGTCGTGAGCTCCCGGTATGTTTCTTGGGTTCTATGTCCATCTGTGCATTGGGAGAGCTAGACTGCTGTCATTTCCCAGCAGTCGGAAATGCGGGCTTTGCCTGAGATCAGTACGGAGTACACAGAAGGAAGTGCATTTGTGTAGGTCAGCGTTGGTGAAACCTTCCTGTTGAACTTTACAGACAGGGCAAACTGCAGCCCCGGTGAGTTTGCCACAGGCTTTACCTTGGGCAGAAAAGTTAAGTTTCTTCTTTCTGTTCAAATTTATTAATTTTTTTTAGAGTATGTTTGCAGTACATAGTGTTTACATTCATTGTGGGGACTAGGTACATGTACCTAATATATCTTTTTAAAACTCTCCTTCCCTCCTTTCCCTCCCCTCTGCCTCCATCTCTAGATCCCCTCCCATTTATGAAAGATCGATCTCCCTATTTCCCATTGTCTGTCTTCTCTTCTGCCCTTTGAATTATTTGTACTTTGGGTTTCTCATAGAAGAGAAACCATGTGTTATTTAAACTTGTGTGTCAGAAGTGCAGTGTCTCCCTCATAGCAGTGACTCCTGGCTGCCGTCTTGGCCATAGCCTGTGGCTCTTCCTCCTCAGGCCCCTGTGCTGGGGCAGGAGTGAGCCACTGAAGGTCAGTCGGCTTTGGGGCCCAAGGCCCCGCAGTTCCTACCTGTCACCCGGAGCTGGTGGCTCACTCCTACACCGTGTACTCCAGGGTCAGTCAACGTCAGGCTTCAGGACTCCCAGAGACTGGGCCTGGGCCACTGGCTTCTTCAAGAGTCATGAGCCTGAGCGACAGGATCACACAAGACATAGTGGGTCAGTGAACACATCCTCCTGCCGCTGTGGGCACAGATCAATGAGGGGCTATACCTGGAAGGGGGTTGGCTGTGGATGGAAATGCGGCCTCACCCCTGCCACAGGATCATATTTCCTCAGCTGTAAATGGGGTCATGTCACCCGCAGGCAGCTTTCTGTGGAGTGGAGGATCTGAGGGTGTATTAGTGCCATGTATGGCTAGTAGCAGGAGTCTCCCCTCCCGAGCAATTCCCAACTATGGGGGAGACTGAGTTCCCTTCCTAAGCTGTGGGAAAAGTCGTCTTAGTCCTATAGCTTTAGGTCAGCTGTGGAGTCACCCACATTCTCTAGCGCATCCCAAGGAGGCGGCCCCAGGGACTGTGTAGGGACCTCAGCGATGAGATGGTTTGGGAGATGCTCAGCGCAACATTCCCAGGCCACCTGTGATACCAGGGTGCATCTGAGGCCCAGCATATGTCTGTGTGGCCACTGGTCCCAGGACAGGCAAGGTACTCACATGCAGAGATATACCTGGGAAGACAGATGTGCTGCCTTCTCCTTGGTAGAACCTGTCCTGTATGTGCCAGTGAAGGGAGTGGTCACCTCTCCTACTACAGCCTGCTGAGGAGCTTTCACTGTCTCCATGATGGAGGAGACTTCTGCAAGGGCTCCGCTAACCCACTAGCCGACTTCGGACCAGTTAACCAACTAAGCAATCAACTTCGTTCCTCCTTCCCTCCCTTCCTCTCTCCCTGCCTCGAGACACTGCTGCCCTGGGCATCCTTTGTGCCCTTAATTCTGCCTTTTCTGGTACCTTCTCCCCGCAGTCCCCTCAGTCCCCCCAGTTCAGCAGCATGCCCTTAAAGGAAACTCCTGCATGCCACGGGCTGTTGGAACAGCCTTTGGTTCCTTGGGAGCTAAGCTTGAGGATTGAATAGTGAAGGGGGGATCCAAGCCACGGTGAAAACACACCTCAGCAGGATTTCATGCCTCCATGAGATTGGGGAGTGTAGGAAGGGCTCAGCACAGCGCCAGGCTTCCAAGGGCTCCTGCTGGAAGCTGTGCAGCTGTCTCACAACAATGCTGGAATTATCTTCTATTCAGGGCCTGATGGGGAGGCGTGGCCATCCCCTTAATGCTGTAGTTTTTATGTATCACTCTCTATTTACACATGGATAATTTTTTTCTGACAGTGTTTAAAAAAAAAAACACACAGCATAGTCTTTGCATAAGGGTAGACACATCCGAGCTTTTTGTTAAGAGACCAGAAACAATTGCTTCCACTTCTGGCCCAAATGTTCTCCTGCTAGAGTCACCCTGTAATTACAGCCCTTGTCTATGAAGCTCTCAAAATGTCACTTCCTCTAAGCGTTGGAGCTGGGATTGCCTCTCCAGGTCAATGGTAAAGGCTCCTTTGGCTAAGATGATTAAACCATTTTTAAAGCAGTTATTTTTTAAAGTGAGGAATGATTAATCAGCTTGTCCCTCCCTGCACTTTGTATTCATTTCCCCAGGAAGTCCCTACAGCTTGATGTCCAATGATATTGTCCTGGTCTTAGGGTGAAAGAAAGATTCACCCAATGTCACTCTCACTCAACTTGGCTGAATTTGCACATGGGCCTCACAGCTTCCAGATCTGGGTTTGTCTACCTTCCAGCTGCCCAAACAGAAGAGAAAGCAAATGAAGAAAAAGCCTGTGTCAAAGTTTAAAAAAAATATTGTCTATACTTAAGCCAAAGGCAACTTTAGTTTAATACAATCTGGAAGACTTTTTCCAAAAAAATTTAAAAAAAGGACTTTCAGAAAACAAAATTACACTCAGCATTTCTTCCTTTTTGGTTTCTTACCACATTTTTCCTTAGAGAGATTTAGGACAGCTAAGTAGAAATTAAAATTTCCATCTGTAAACAGCCACGGAGCCAGCTGTCTTTCATTGTGCAAGGGTGACAGGCTAGAAATCGTGGACGAGCGGCTTTCATTCTCTGATTTTTAAACAGATTGGCTGTTCAGCCGAGTGCGAAGATCATAAATGCTCTTTGTAAAAATGTATATGCTGTTAAGAAGCATTGGGAAGAAGATGAGCATTCTGAGAAGCTCACCACCCAAAGGCAGCCGCCAGCACAAGTGGCTCACACTGCCTCGGGGGAGCTTTTGTTTTCTTAGGTCTGTCTATCATTAGATGATGGGATGCTCAACGGGAACATCAGCGGATGTTTTTGGAACCCGGAAGGCAACCAAACTACCTCTGCCCAAGCCCAGCGGGAATAACTGCTGTAGTCCTCACCCGTCTCCTGCCTTTCTAGTCCAATATTTCCCTTGTCTTGATGCAAAGACAAGAATAATTCAGACCCTTTGTCCAATATTTGGAGTCTGAAGAGTCCTAGGAAGGATGTGGGACCTGCGGCTCACCGTTACCCCAACTAGGGGGTTGATTGCAAAAGCAGCTCTACTCCAAGCACCAGGCTCTGTGGATGGTGTGACTGTCTGTCATGCTAAAAAAAGAGCCCAAGGGCCAGCCCAGGCCCCCAGTGACTGTAAGTTTCCTGTGGGAACTGCCTTGAGAGCCTGCTGTAGTTCTTTTCCAACTGGTAACTTCTCAGCAAAGGGATGTTAACCTGATTTCCTTTAACCTCAGCGACTGACTTCCTCCCGGTGAGTAGATACTTCCGCCAAGCCCCAACCCTCAGGGGCGGGGGCAGGGACTGTCTCCTGCAAAGTGAGTACTTTTCCCTCTTTGGTGGGTCTCTGTCCACCAGCTCTTCCCATCCTGGCCTCTGTGGTGCCACCAGGCCTCTCTGTATCCTCATCTTTACACCTCTTTGACCTTTGCACGTGGCCACCCCCAGGACACTGGTGGTTCTTCTTTTAGGCAGGGCTGAGCATATTCCTTGGGCAGACCAGGGGCCCTGGGGGCGACCCCCTTCCTCATTAGAGTTTCCCTTCATGCTTGGGGGAGTGTATGCATATCCCCGGGGAACAAGCTGAGGGGACAAAGAGAGGGACCTATGGCCTTCCCTCTGAAGGGTCTGTGATCCAGGAAGTTATTTAGTCTTTGAGAATGAACATTACAAATATACCTTCACCGTGACCCCCAAGAGTCTTCCATGGTCATCAGGAGCCCTGAAAGTTGAGGGCCTTTGGGGACACTAATGAAACAGACAGAGAAATGAGAAAGCACAACATGCGCTTACTTCCCGATGGATGCTGGGCTAAGGGCTAATCTAATACTCCCTTCTTTCAACATCAGGTCACCCCTTGCTCTTTTTCTTGATGGAAATACTGTATCATTTAGCTATTGCTGCCTAACAAATCACCCCAAACTTGGTAGTTTAAAACTGCAGTAGATCCTCAGTTTGAGGTGTCAGGAATTTGCGTGTGGTTTGCCTCTGCCTCAGGTCTCCTGTGGGGTTGCAGTCAGATGGTGGCCAGGGCTGCAGCCTTGTCTGCTTTTGTTGTTGTTTGGGTTTTTTGGGTACTGGGGATCAAACTGTGTTTTCGAGGCGGGAATGGCACCACTGAGCTA